CATACTAGTAAAGGACTGACTGTTATAACAATACATTGTTCAATGTTCAAGTTCATTTAACACATCACGGTGCAAATTGCAATTTAAAAAAGCATTTGCTGGTAGACAGAGGGCAAGGTCCTTCTGCTTCATCTCTATCATGTCCAGGGACTCAGAACTCTTTCTTAGAGTTTTCCAACCTTGTCCCTATTTGAAATTTAGGTCCCAATGACTCTTTGCTTTGGAGAGCATGCCTGTGCATCATGGGACATACAGAGGTGGCAGATGCTAGGACCAGAAATCTTTACCAGTTGTAACAACCAAAAAATGTCTGAAATTTTAGTCTAAACTCACTCAGTACTAGTAAGGAATACACTTTATTCCCCTTGACCAAGCATGTTGATGTGTATTTAACTGGCAAATGACAGAGGTTGGTGGACAGAGGCTTCCTTGAAAATTGTTTTGAGCTAGAAGACATCAAACACCGTTTCCACTACAGTATTGGAGAAGGAAGGAAGGAGAGGAGCGATTACCTATCAGTTTATTTTACTTGTGGAATCCATCACTGTTGTTAAAGGAGAAAACAAAGTAGAAAAATAAAGGATATCATAGAAAGGCAGGAATAGAGGCTGTGAACCTGGATTAGCAGGCTGGAAAGTTTAGCTGGCATTCCATCTTTACTCCAAAGAAGGCACTAACTTTACATTTCTCCTTGGGTGGTATGAACGTGTGAATATTGGCTAGAACAACACTCTCTGAGATGTAAGACCAGTATTAAGTATCTAGTATTGAGTAGTGAAAAAAAATAAAGTAACACCTTACACTTTGGCTCTAATTTGCATTTTAGCTCTTCTTACAATTCTTTTATTTTAAAAAGGCTGCTTAGCTTTCTTTCTTCTTGTATTCTGTAAACTTGCTTATTCTGTCAGTTGTTGACCTGTGACTAATTCACCACTATGGGATCTACAGATATCCTGAATAAAACATGAAATTCTCATTTTCATACAGAAAAAAATAAAAATATCAAAGGATCATATTTCTCAAACTTAACAACTCAGATGTCACCCTTTTCTCTATTTGCCACATCTAGATACCACCAAAAACTACTACTTACTTGGAATTTTCTTTAATTCTGATACCCTTTAGTTCACTAAAGAAATAAAGTCATTATTTCTTTGATATAATAAAAGGTAAGCAGTGCCTTCTGTGCAGAGGGGATGCAACTAGAAAGTGCTATGAAAAGCCTGGTGTAACATTTCACTAGATACTACTGTTCAAATAAGGTTCTAAGCTACGTCCTGGCCTCCTTTTTGCTAAAAGGGGAGATTATGAAATTAGACAGTAGAGATGTACCTGCATTAAATTGAAGCTTTTCCTTTTCATAATCAGAAGGATTCAAAAGATCATTGGAAAGGGATTTATTTTTCTCTCAGTCTATGATGTTTTAAAATGACTCATTGTGTATCCCTGTTTATTTATCTAACACGGTCTTGTCTTACACTAAAATGATTTTTTGTAACATTGGCAGTGCCTATTCCTCTCTCTTAGAAAGGTGTCAGGAATGACATACATTGTTTACCTTGGTTGTGTCTGAAACGTCCTAGTGAGTCTTAACTGTCAATTTGATGCAATCTAGAGTGACCTGAGAAAGGAACCTCATCTGAGGAATTACCTAGACCAGATTGGCCTGTTGGCATATCTGTGGAGGAAGGTCTTGATTGTTAATTGATGTAAGAGAGCCCAGCCCACTATGGGCAGTGCCATCCCTATGTAAGTGGTCCTGGGATATATAAGGTTAGCCTGACAAATACGATAAAATAAATCCACAGACACAGAATCCACAGACACAGAAAAGCTAAGTTACAAGGAGGGGTAAAGGGGGGACTGATGGAGGAAGGTCATTGGTAATAAACAAACTGCCTTGGCCCATTTTGATAGGCCATCCCTTAGGTGGGTGGAGTAAGCAGAATAGAATGCTGGGAGGAAGAGGAGTGAGCTCAGACTCATAGCTCTCCTCTTTGGGGCAGACACCTCAGACAGAGGCCATGCTCCCCTCTCCGGGGCAGATGCACGCAATGAAGCAAGCCGCCAGGTCAGACATGCTGAATCTTTCCCGGTAAGACTGGTGCTACACAGTTTATTAGAGATGGTTTGATCGGGATATCAGAATTAGCCAGTAAGGGCTAGAGCTAATGGGCCAAGCAGTGTTTAAAAGAATACAGTTTGTGTGTTGTTATTTCTGGTGCAAAGCTAGTCTTGCTGGAGCCAGGCGGGATGAAAAGCAGGCCCGCAGCTCCCACAACAGAGGACACCCCCTGGGAATTGGAAATAGAAGAGATTTTGTGAGTGGACTGAGGGTGGGTGGGGATGAGAATATGAGCAATCAGGTAGGGTGAAGAGGGAGAGTACTGAGAGACTACTAGAAAGAGGGGGTGCATATGAGCATCAGGTAAAACTCTGGCACAAGGGAATCTCCCAGCAATCTACAAAGATGATCCCAGTTAAGACTCCTAGCAATAGCAGATACTAACTGGCCATCTCCTGTGACCAGGCAAGACTTCAAGTGGAGGAGTGGGGAACCAACCCAGCCACATAATCTTCGACCCACAGTCTGTCCTGTCTGTGGTATGTGTTGAGGTCAGGGTGGTCTAGAAACTAAGGGAGTGGCCAACCAATGACTGATTTATCCTAAAACCCATTCCAGGAGAATAAGTCCACCCTTGATAGTGCCTGGAGCATCAGGACCCAAAGGCTGGATGACTCAAATAGAACTAGGATAGAACCAAATATGACTGGAGGGGAAAATGTCAAAGTAATGATGCCTAAATCTGTTCTGCTATTCTTATAGATTTGTGCCTAGTCCAGTTGTCATCAGAGAGTTTTCACGCAGCAACTATGGGAAAGATGCAAACCCACAGTCAAACATTTGGTGGGACCTGGGAATCCTGCAGAAGAGGGGGAAAATATTGTAGAAGTCAGAGGGGTCAAGGACACCACAAGAAAACTCACAGAATCTACCAACCTAGGCTCATAGGGGCTCACAGAGACTGAACTGACAACCAGGGAGCCTTCATGGGACTCATCTAGACACTCTGCATGTAAGTGACAGATTGTAGCTTGGTTTGCTTGTAGGACTCCTAAAAGTGGTAGCAGGGGCTGCCTCTGACTTTTGCTGACTTTTGGAACCCTACACCTACATACTTGGTCACCTTGCCCAGCCTTAACACATAGCAGTGGCGGGGGGGAGGGGAGGGGTACTGCTCAGATTACTGCAACTTGATATGCCCTCCTCCTCTCCTCCTCTCTTCTTTCTCTTCTTCCTCCTGATCTTTTCCTCTTCCTCCCCTTTCCTCCTCTTTCTCTCCTTTTTCTTCTCCTCTTCCTCCCATTCTCCTCCTCCCAACATCTTTCCATTACAGCAAGATTATATTACAGGTTCCTCTCTCATAAAATTCATTCCCATAAAAGTGAAGCCAAGTGCTCATGATTCATTCTTTGAGCCAATAGGGAGTAGGGGTCTACCTATTCCTCACTCGGGTGTTTCTAATTACTGTCTTGAAACCATGCAAAATCCCCTTTTACTTTTTTATTTATAATGTACTTTAAACCATTGCATACTTATTTATCAAACTGTAGCCCCTGGTTCTATTTTCAGGGAGAAGAGGGAGACATCATGTTGAGGCTGGAATCTGCTTCATCATCATTGGACACCTTTCCAGCTTAATCAGCTTTAGAAATGCCGCATCACTATTATAAGAACAGGTTGTGCTAACCATGGTGGTTCTAGGTTAGCCTGGTACATATATAAAGTCCTGGGCCAGTTACGTAGTGAGATCCCGTCTCATAAATAAATAAATAAATAAATAAATAAATAAATAAATAAATAAATAAATATCAGTTGGGCATAAAGGGGATGCTAGAGTCAAAGGTAGTAAGGTCTTAAACACTTAAGAAGGAAAGTAGAGGGTCTTGCTGCTGGTGTGAGATCATCAAACTGGCCAAATAAGAGGAAGAGTAGAGATGGTCATGCTGTCAAACTATATTCTAAATATTTCTAGATATAAGTAGATTTTTTTTTCTTTTTCCAAAACTATTTTTCACTTTGGTCAGAGAAACTGCTTCATGCTGTGGGTAGTAGTTAATACAGACACTCATAACTAGCCAAAGTGCTGAGTACAACTAACTCTAGTGCTCTCCTGTGGATAAGTCATCTGTATTAATCTCCCACCAAAGCTCAGGCAATATAACAGAAGAGAGGGGCTGAAAAGAAATGTAAGAGTTGATGGATGGGGGAAAAGCTGTGAAATGCTGATTTCTGGACACAGCAAGGCTATGGACTTCATTAATTCATAGTAGCAATGGTTACCCACACAAGATCAAGTCAGTCAAAATTCCATCACAGATAAAGGCAGGGCCCCTGAGGCCCCACCCCTATTAGAAGAGTCATCGGCTGTTTTAAATGGGATAATCACTCTCTTTGGGAACACTGCCAATGGCAGGCTGCACACGTCTCCGTAGATTTAATCATCCTGTGTTCTCACTTCACCTCCCTCCAGATTATCATCCGAAGAAAGCCATGACCATACCTTCACTCTTCATGTTTATGTCTATGGATATTTTGCCTGCACACATGTATGTGCACCACATGCATTCAGTTCTCACGGAAGCCCACGAGGGAGTCGGATACCCTGGAATTGACATTATAGGTGGTTAGAAGCCACCATGTGTGTGCTAAGAATCAACCTGGGTCCTCTGGAAGAACAGAACTCTAAACTACAGAGCCATCTTTTGAGACTCATAGTTGAATGTTAAGAATCCTCATTTAGAATTTTCTGAGTCTTAGCATGCTTTCCTCTGGGTTGAAATGTTTCAATTCAGAAAAAATTACTACATAAATACCAAAAGAAAAATGCTAAAAATAGATTCAAATGGTCCCCAGAGAGTGACCAACAGAACAACCATAAGCAAGAGGATGGAACACATATTATTATTCTACTTTTACTTTATTTCAGTCATATAAATTGAGGGTATTGGGTCAGAGATCAGATGACATATTCTATAGGTTTACCTAAAGAACACCAAAGCAAGAAAAGATTGGAGGAAGGCATGACATGAATTCTTTATCTTGAGTGATAAAGAGGCTGAAGTGTCCAGATCCATGTATGTTAGGATGGAGTCCATGAACCACCTAAGTAAAGTAGAGACTCGCCTGGAGCAGCCCAGGGCACATCAGCACAGGGGCAGAGGGCTTCTGGGAATGGCATTGCAGTCACCTGGCTGAGCTAGGGATTTGAAGAATCCTGTCTTCTTTCCACCGCTTCACCTCCCTTGAGATATTTTGCAGGGGATTAATTCCCTCCAGGGATCAGCTTGCTCTAAACCTTGATAATCCAGATTAATGGTTTAGCTCAGTTCTCCCTGGGTTATCTCACACTAGAGCAGGGACATGGGTATTTACAGGGAAGTGACAGACTGTGCTTCTGGGAAACTCAACCTTCAAGGCCTCCTCTGAGCTAAGACTTATCAGGCTCCTCATCACACCCTGTAAGGAGTGGGACACTCTCTTGCCAAGAAAAAGAAATGAAGTTGTTGTTAGAGGAGCCAGGTGGAAAGTAGGCTGTGTGTGGAACTTTTTGAAAGATTTTCTTTTCTTCATTCAGACTGTGAAAAAAAGTTTCCCACACCATCTTTTCCAAAGGGAGACACAGAAGGAAAATCTGTGGGAAACAGAGATTTAGGGAAAGGTGTCATGGTCCCTGGAATGTTTGAGTGGCAACTGATCATAGTACAATTCATATTTATGTACACATTCTCCCTTCTACATTTGCTTGTACACATGTCTCTTCTCCCAAGTAGCAAAGCAACTGCAGCCATCCCCAAGTCCACAGTGTGGCAAGTCCACAGCCACCCTGCATCCTGAACCCTCCACCCTCCACCCAAGGACTCCTGGGAATCCAGATCTCTACAAGCATTCAATCCATGTTGACAAGGCAGCATGTGTCTGCAGCTTCTTACCTCTTCAACGAGACATCATCTTCACAAACTCTGAAAAAGAAAATTTCTTGTGAAGTTCCTCTTGGTGAAAGCAATTTGTTTCACATCTTATTCCCTTGAAAATAGGTCCCTCACTGACCCTGGGGCTCACTAATTGTTGTTGTTATTGTTTTAATGTGTATTGGTGTTTTGCCTACATGAGTGCCTGTGCACCACATGCATACAGTGCCTGGTGAGAACAGAAGATCTCACTGGAACTGGAGTTGGGAACTGCCATGGGTTCTGGGTCCTCTTGAAGAGCTAACACTCTGAACCACTGAGCCATCTCTCCAGACCTATCTCACCAGTTCTTTGTTAAGCTGCTGACCAGGGACTGCGGTGAACCTCTGATCACCACCTCTGTCCTCCACCAGCAAAAGGAAGGGGCGAGTGGGAGATCCTCAGCTGGCCTGCAGCCTGGAAACAAACACACTCACAGAGATCAGAGGAGGGCACTGGGTGTCCAGCTCTATCACTCTCCACTGTATTCCCTCTAGACAGAGGCTCTCTCTGAACCTGAAGCTAGGCTGGTAACTTGCAAACCCCAGCAGTCCTCCTCTTACCACCTCCTACAGCCCTGTGGCTATAGGTGCACACTGGAATTTTTAATGTGAGTACCTTCAAAGTCAACAGTGCCATCTCCATTGATGTCAGCCTCCTGTACCACCTCGGAAATCTCCCGAGGTGTGAGCTTCTCCCCCAGCAGCCTCTGCATGGCCTGCTGCAGCTCTGCCAGTGTGATCTCCCCATCTCCATTGGTATCAAACTAAACAGAAACAATGGGGGCTAGATCAGCTTCAGTGGTGATACAGCCTCAGGGAAGGTCGGGGTTCCAGGCCGCTCAAAAAGGTTAGGAACCAAGCTAAGTACTAAGGACATGTCATCAACTGGAATGTTGGCTCCTCAATGTAGGATGGGGCTTCTTTTAAATTTGCATCTACATTATTTTTAACAACTTTGCTGGGATGTAGTTGATATCTAAAGAGCTATGTATGTACAATGCACACAACTGGATGAGTTTAGACATATGCATGGATTCATGGAATCATCACAACTACTGTGACAGATATCCATCATAGTCAGGAGCTTCCTGGTTCTTCTTAGCTTTTGTTTGTTTTCCATGCCCTTAAACAAATTATTACATTTGTTGTTTGTTTGTGTGTGGGCACAGGTGTGGGCACATGCATGCCATGGTGTACCTGTGAAGGTCAGAGGATAATTTGCAGGAGTTGTTTCTCTCCTTCCACTATGTGAGTCCTGGGGATTGAACTCAGATCATCAGGTTTGGCAGTGCCTTTACCCACTGAGCTATCTTACTTACCCCATGTTCTTATCTTATCAATTATCAATATATTTTATAAGTTATTATGACTATTATATTATTATAAATGTTTGATAGAATATTTTATTTATTCCTTGACAATTTTATTCATCCATTAAAATTTTTAATTATGACATTTGCAAGAAGATATATAATACAGAAACAATTGTGTTAAACAAAATAAGCCAGATGCAGAAAGACAAAAAACAGATGTTCTCTCTCATACAAGTAACATAGATTTAAATTTGAGTATGTATGTACATGCATGTGTATGTCATTATACTAGAATGCAGACAATGAGAGAAGAGGGACTTTTAAGGAAGGAGAAAAGAGGGAAGGAAATAACAGAATACATGTGACATGAAAGTCAAAGAAGGACCAAGGCCTTGCACACACTAAAGCAGTGTTCTACTGCAAAACCACACTCCCAGTCCCTCACTGTGGATTCTAGGAAGGTGCTTTGCCACTGAGCCATGCCCCAGCCCCTCACTGTGGAATTCTAGGTAGAGGTTCTATCACTGAGTCACATTCCCGGCCCTCACTGGGGGATTCTAGGCAGTGTTCTACTACTGAGACGTGCCACTAGATCCTGGAGACCTTGTCTGTTTCTTGTTATGTTCAGCAGTTAGATTTGCCTCCCTTCCACAAACATCTTCCTGTCCTATATCCTCTGTAATAGAAGTTTCCTTCCCCAGAATAGCTCTGCCCTTCTGGAAACAACATACCCATAGATTCTTCCTTCCTGTTGCAGAAACTAAGATTATAGGCTCCAGAATTTGCCTTGGGAAACATGGGGTATTAGATATAATTTGCAATCCTTGATCCTTGGGTTCTTCATATGTATGATGGGAATAAGTGTGTGCTTATTCCTAATATTGTATATAAGGGTTATATAAGATGAATACATATTGCCAAGTGTTTGGAATATATGATTCTCCTTACCTTTGTATCTAATCTCAACTAGTTGATTTTGGTGGGCACTGCCCATGGTATGGACTAATAAAACTATCCCCTTGAGGTCTCCCGCACCCCTTTCAGCATTATGGAGTTATTAACTCACCTCCTTGAAGGCATCTCTCATCTCCTGGACACCAATCATCCCTGCTGTCTCTGCAAGCAATTTGGGGGTCATCAGCTCCACAAAGTCTTCAAAGTCTACACGGCCACCAACTGAGGAAGAAAGAGCATGGTTAGCCAGGATTCCATAGGCTCTGAGCTTCTATCCCTGCACTTTCCCATTTAAGTCAGAATAGGTCAGCTGCCATCTTCCTGCATGCTAAGGGTTTTCTTTGAGTCTCTTCTATTATGACATGGAATTCAATCTTGTTAACTCACATCCATGCCTAGGAGTCAATGTAATTCTGTATTCAATCACAGAATCAACTTAGGTTTCCATTTAATGATGCATTGCCAAATAGTGCTACTCAGTTACACTGGATCCAAGTCCAGGTGTGTATTCAACATCCATCAAGCTACTCTACTGATAAGAACCTACATATGGTAAGAGCTCACTGGGGAATATGACTTTTCCCACAGTGGCATACTTTCTACAACATGATGAATAACTAAGCCATGATCATGTCTCTACTTGATTGATAGAGAAACTAAAACCCAGGAATATTCCAGAAATATCCCACTGCTCAAAATGGTCACAAGGAGTAAATAATAAAAGATAGACTCAGGCACCAGGGAGATGGCTTCTCAGGTAAAAGGCATTTGCTGTCCAGTTTGATGACATTGAGTTTGATCCCCAGGACTCACATGGTGAAAGGAGACCACTGACTCCGGCAAATCATTCTCTGACTACCACACAGATGCTGTAGCATTCACATGCACCCCCTCTTCCACCAACACACAGAATATATAAATGCAATTTGAAACTTTTAAGTGAGAAGCTGGGCAGGCTCAGCTATTAAGAGCACAGTCTATTCCTACAGAGGACCTGAGTTTATTTTTCAGAACCCATATGGTAGTTCATGACTGTGTGTAACTCCAGTTCCAGGGAATCTGACTCCCTCTTCTGCCTTCTGCAGGTGCCAGGCACATACTTGGTGCACAAACGTAAATACAGGCAAAACATTCCATACACATGATATTTTAAATCTTTAACATTTTTAGTGATAAAATGTGCAACTAGTACCTAGATCCATCTTTAAAATCCTCTTTCTGACCACTTCAAATGCAGCACAGTCAAAAAGATGCTTTCTGGCAGACAGCTCTTTTCCCTTAACAACCTTCCTATTTAAAGTGCTACTCTCAACCCGAACACCTTTCTCACTCCCACCCTGTCCCAACTCTGGGCATGTCCCCGACCCCTGCCCTCACGGTTCATGCGGATTTGTTGGCCCAGCTCAGTCAACTCCATCTCTGTAGGCATGTAACCCATCGTCCTCATGAGATTGCCCAAATCCTTGTAAGAGATGAACCCATCTCGGTCCTTGTCAAATTCAAGAAATGCTTCCCGGAGCTCTAAAAAGGAAGAGAGAAGAGGTAGTTGTAGAGCAACCTGAAACAGTCAGTGGAGAAGACTGGTATCTCTTGAAATTATCAATAAGACACAACTAGAGATGAAATGTAGTCTACGAAGAAACTATTCTTCAAATACAGAATACAGTTTCTTCGTAGAATACATTTAATGAACTGAATGACTCATTTTTGAAAAAGCAGGGATTTGTAAAATGTGCTAGTGAGGTAACCCCTGAGAGCACTGAAGTCCTCAGAGTCTTAAGTGAAGTTACAAGGGATCTCAAAACAACCAAAGGAAAAAATAGCAACGTTTTTTAAATCACTCTAAAACTTATCATTTCTGAGTTTCAAATGAGGCAGACACACCCCATCGATACTCGGGAAGCAGATCCTAAGCTGACACAGAATGAGCTGTGCAAATTACATTTAACAGGGAGAGGGAGGAAAGGAATGTTCACATGAAAGAATTTACACAAAAATGCAGGAGAGGGCGGATGTGGGTGGCTAACATGGAAGGGCATTTGAGCAAGGAGTTACCATCAATCTCATCCTGTCCCAGTGGCCTCTCCTAAAAAGAACACAAGAATGAGAGATTGGAGAAGTCCCACTTCCCCAGACAAGCCCATTGTTCTATCAAGCTTTCTGGTCCTTCACACTCTTCCACTAACTTTCTTCTTCCTCCTTCCATCTCCACCTCCCATCCCCAGCTCTTCTCTGACCACCCTTTCCTCCCATCCCCTCCCCTTTCCTGTCTCCTATCCTTGCACCTTAATCTCTGACTGTCCTAGACATAAGAGAGTTGGAACCTCTTCTCTAGATGAAGAAAATATGTCTCATCTATTGTGTTCAGAGGGATGTCTGTGTCAAGCTCTTTCATTGTATTTAAACCTCAGAACCATGTCAGTGAGGTAAACTCAAATATTCTCATCTCACCCATAAGAAACTGAAAAACAGAGAGATTAATGAGCCTACCAAAGGTCACACAGTTCATATGTAGAATATCCCCCTCCAAGGGAGAGGTAAATCAATTAATCCTGTTTTCCTTTTATTTATTTGCCTATTTAATCATTTTGAAATGCAAGCATTTTCCAAGTACTTGTGAGGTATCAGAGGACAATTTGAGGCAGTTAGTTCTTTCCTTTCTTTATCCTGGGGAGAGAACTCAGGTCTTTGGACTTAGCAACAGGTGTCTTGACCTGCTGGCCCTCACTGGCCCTTATTGAACTATTCTATTCTAGTATGTATGTATGATGTATGTATGTATGTATGTATGTATGTATGTATTTAGACAGTCTCATGTAGCCCAGACTAGTAGCCAAAAATGACTCTGAACTTCAGATCCTCATGTCTTCATCTCCCAGGCACTGAGGTTACATTCCTACCACACCCCCTTTTTATGGATCTGGGAATTGAACCCACGGCCTCATATGTGCAAGATAAACTCTACCAGCTAAGATACATACTCAGCCACTTCATCCTTTTAAGAAATGAGTTTTTGTTAACAAAGAAACAGGTTTGCACTGTGATGTTGTCACACATCTGCATCGCTGACCTTTGCTGTCTTTGGCACCGCCCCTACCTCTAGCACGTTCCTCTCTCCCCAGTCCCAGTTCTCCCCTGAAGTAACACCCTCTTCTGCTTTTATGACACACATACTCCTTTGAGATTACTCAGAGGTCAGACACAGGTCTCCTGGCTCCCATGCCCAATTCTTTCTGCTACATCCCACTGACTCTAGCACCTCCATCCTCATTCCCAGTAAGCATCCCCTTGTGTGAAACCAGTGTTCAGAGTGCTTCATGAATCTTCGGTGTTAGTCTCACATCTGAGAATTGCTGGTCGTTGTTCTCTACCCACGAGTACACCTGAGGGTAAGCTTGGTTAGCAGGCATAGCGCCTGGGAATTTACTCCTCATCAACCTTATAATTGGAGGCCTCCTCACTTCGGATTCTTCTTCTTTTCTTCCCATGCAAGCTCTTACCTTCCCTCAGCTCTCTTCCCTCTCCCTTCCCCTATTTTCCCTTCACTTCCTTTCTCCTGTTTCTCTTCCCTGTCCTGCTTTGCCCCATACCTTGACCCACGTCCCCTCCCCTTCTCTTCCCTTCCATTTTCTCCCCTCCCTTTCTACCTTCTCCTTTCTTTTCTTCCCCTTTCTGGTGATGTTAAAGGCTTACAATGAAGAGCATGTTCCTAAGAATCAAACAGGACTAAATATGCGGAGCACTGGACTGAGCTCCCAAAGTGCAGTCAAAGAGAGGGAGGGGGAATAATATGAGCAAAAGGGTCAAGACCATGATGGGGATACCCACTGAAACAGTTTACCTGAGCTATTGGGAGCTCACCGACTCTGGTCTGACAGTGGGGCAACCAGCATAGGACCGAACTAGACCTTCTGAAATATGGGTGACAATTGTATGGCTGGGGTAGACAGTGGGGCCACTGGCAGTGAGACCAGGATTTATCCCTACTGTTTGTATTGTTTTTGGAATCCATTCTCTTTGGAGGGATACCTTACTCAGCCTGATATAGTGGGGAAGGCCTTGGTCCTGCCTCAAAGCAATGTGCTAGACTTTATTGACTTCCCATGGGAAGCCTTACCCTTTCTGTGGAGTGGATAGGGGTGGGGAGAGGGAAAGGTGGAGGGAGCCAGAAGAGGGAGAAAGTGGGAACTGGGATTGGTATGTAAAATGAAAAAAGGTAGTTTTTTTTAAATAAATAAATAAATTTTAGGTAAATAAATAGGTAGATCCATAAATTGTGCCACTGATTAACTGTATAGACTTAAAGCAAAATACTTCACGATTTAAAGGTCTCAATTTGCTCCCTTGTAAAACAGGAATGAAATCATACCCAACCTCATGTGTTATTCTGAGGACTGAATGCCACCAAGCCTTTTTCACAGGACTAGGCACACAGCAAGACTCAATAAGCAGTAGCTATTTTTAATACCATCATCAGCATCATCAACACCATCACTATACCCATCGTCATCAGAAGCGGCAGCACCACCACCATCACTATCACCACTGTCATCCCCATCATCACTACCATCACCATTGTCATCAGCAGCAGCAACAGCAGCAGCAGCACCATTATCACCACTGTATGATTTATAAAACAATGATGTTATCAAGAATGTTTCCATCCCAATCCCTTTTACATTCCTCTCACTCCACCATCCTGCTTTGCTCCTGACTTCTGATTGCTGATCCTTGTGTCCATACGGTGCTACTTGAACTCAGTTTACGCTCTCCACCTGCTCCCCTTGTTGCTCAGCATTTGCACACTAGTTTTTCCCATGCCCCAGATTCCCTTGCTCTTTCTGCCACCTCACCCGCTGCTTCTCAGCAATGCCTTTCCTCAAGAAGATGCAGGCAGGGCCCATGGGAAACTGCATGGGGGCAGGTAGAGTTCACCAAGCTCTGATGTCAAGATGGCCCCTCCTTCCTCCTCCCCTGCAGCAGGCAGCCCAGTTCCTGATTGCTTCAATCCTTTGCCAATTCTTCTTGCCCTTCTTGGACTCTCCTCAGTCCCTGTGACAGATCTGTGACAGCTCGTGCGGAATCTCTAATCAGACAGTGGAGGGATAGGAGCTCTTCCTACCTCCCCATCTGGCTAGAGTGAGATGGGAGGGGAGAGCCAGTGTGGGCCTCTGAAACTCTTTTATCCCCAGAATGGAATTAGATAGTACATTTTGAAATGGGGATTAAAGTGAAGCCTCTACTCATTTGCTGTTCCAACAAGCATTTTGAACATTCATCTTAGCCTGACCTTTGGTGAGTGAAAGTTGGAAAGGATGGATGTGGTATTTCAGTCATGTGCTCAAAGGAGCATGATGCAAGAACCCTTGATACCAGGTCATACAGGCCTTAAGGGAACATGTTGTTGCTGTGCTAAATAGGTTGAAAAACTGCCTTCTAAACATTTAGTGCTACAGTTGACTTTGACTAGAAAAGCCTCCTCTGCAGTAAGCAGTTGGTAATGCAGAGACAAGAGCTGGTCAAAGTGCTAAGAATAAATGTCTGCTGAGTGCCCAGCCCTAACTGGGACATTGCTACCAACCCCTTCCTGAAGGTTCAGGAAACATTGAGCAGTGGGGATGAAAGAAAGTAAGCACCAAAGGATGTGGGAAAGTACGGTGAAATATTGTCTTCTGGATGCAGCATGTTCATTGCACTCATGCACGTACTGCACCTATGGTTACTTGCACAAGATCAAGTCAACAAGATCAGTTAGCAGTAGATTTTCAGAGAGAGAGAGCTGTTGAGATGTGTCAGGCAGTGTGGATACACTCAATAAATATTGTATATGTATATGAAATTACCAAAGAATATATAAAAATAAAAAGAAACCACTTGATATGAGGTGTTGTGTGATCTCCTAAGGAGACATGAATACATGTCTATTCTCCCCAAGATAGGGCACAAGCAGCCAACCAAAGAAAAGATTCCACCAAGCCTGACTCGGTGAACCAATGAGTTTATTGGGGTTGCCTACAGGGATATGAATGGTGAATTATCACCCAGATGCAGCTGCATCACCAAAAAATCCATCTCAGCATGGATAATGATTTATGAATGCCACATACTGGAAAATCCCTACACAACTTGCATACACTTCCACTAAAGAGTACTGTATGGTGGTTTGAAAGAAAATGGCCCACAAAGGGAATGGCACTATTAGGAGTTGTGGCTGTGTTTGAGTAGGTATGGTCTTATTGCAGGAAGTGTATCACTGTGGAGGCAGGCTTTGAGGTCTCACACATGCTCAAGTCATGTCCAAAGAGACTGACCATCTCCTGTTGCCTGCAAGATTATGGATTCTCAGCTACTTCTCCAGCACCATGTCTGCCAGCATGCTACCATGTCCCACCATGATGATAATGGACTGAACCTCTAAATTGTAAGCAAGCCAACACAATGAAATGTTTCCTTTATAAGAGTTGCCATGGTCATAGTGTCTCTTCACAGAAATAGAAACCCTGACTAAGACAAAAGTTGGTACCAGGGACTAGGGTATTACTGTGATAGTACTGTTTTTGTTTGGAGGAATTTGAACTTTGGTACTTTGGGTTAGGAAAGCAATAGAATGGATTAAGTGCTGCTTAGTGGGCCATGCCAGTAAAAGCAAAACAATGGTACTGAATGTGAGTTGATGAGCTGGGGGTGGGGCAGGGGCTAGCGCTGGAGGTTTCAGAGGAAAATAATATTAATATGTGGCCTAAAGATCATTTTTGTGATATTTCAGCAAAGAAAGCAGCTGCTTTTTGTCCCTGTCCAGTGTATCTGAAGCTAAAGTGAAATGAATTAGTTCCATTGGCAGAGGAAATCTCAAAACAGCCTAGGATAGACTCCGTCATGTGGTTACTAGTACTCATGCTTATAAAGATGCGTAATGGACAGGAACATCCTGAGAGAAAACAAAGAACCATGAAGTGGAATGGAACTAAGTTCTGTGTTCAAGCAGATGATCAAGAAATGGAATAAGGGAATGGTGACCTAGGACAAAATCCCACCTAGCTAAGTTTCCCACCTGTGAAAAGGAACTAAGGAAATGATTAGACCAGGATGTGATGATGTACACCTTTAATCGTAGCACTCCGGACAGCAGGATGTCAGATGTCCGCCTCTGGCCTCTTCAAGCCCATAAATAGGTGCATGCTACCATGCACACACACGAACACATTTTTTTTTGCCTGACATAGCATCCATCACTTTTATGATTTTCCTGAATTTGATCAACTATCAAAACTACCAAAGCAACTACTCATACCCTTCAAAAGGTCAAGGTCACAGAGTGAAGGGAAGATTGAGAACCTCACTGAACTTGGCAGACACCAAGATTTGGACAGTGCAGCACAGGACTCTGAGCCCAGACCCTTTTACCTCAGATGTCGGTATTGTGACACATGATAACTCATTAGTCATTTTTGGTATTCCTTGCTTCGTGTGTACATCATAGCAACCTCTCCCTTCGTATTCTCATAGCCTGGTATCTCCTTAATCAAGAATTTGCACTTGGCATTGTTCCTTTGGAAGATTTGTCAGGGTGTTTTGAGGATATGGCAATCAACTTGCTAAGGTGAAAACTGGAAAACAATCAAAAAGAAGCCCTGGGTGAAGGGAAAGTGGTTCAGTCCTGGAAAAGGCTAAATTCATTCTTAAGGTGTCTCTGTGTCTTCTTTCCACGGACCCACATGAACCCATATCTGTGCCATAATAATCTCATCTGCAAACTCTGAATTTCCTTTTAATGTCTTATCTACAAGCACATGAGGTATGGCATTGACTTTTGGGGAGAAATAAACAATTCAACTCGTAGCAGTCTTTAACATTTAATGAGCCACCAGGAAGAGTGAAGTCTCATTGTTTGTAGGAAAATGGACAAACCTGGAGCCCATCACATTAAGCAAAATAACCCAGCCTCAAAAAGACAAGTATAATGATTTCCCTCCTAAGTGTAATAGCTATCTCGCTATCTGCCTACTATCTTCCTTTTGTCATCTATTTATCATCTATCTTAACCATCTACCTTGTATCTATCTGCTAATTATCTTATCTATATACCTTGTATCTACCATCTATCACCTATCTACCCATTTTACTTATCTTTATCTATGTATTACATATGTTGTAGAAGGGGGACAATTTAGTGGAAAGAAGGAGGTCGAAAAAGATGAAGGACAAGAAGGAAATTAGGAAAGAAGAAAAGACAAATATAGCAAGTCTTTTATATGCAAAATTTAGGTTAAAATACATATTTATGCACACATACCTATGACACAAGAGCAGGAGGGGAGTATTTGGAGGGAGGAAGAAAACCCACATGAGAAGGAAGTGGGGCCAAATGGAGGTAATGGGGAACAAGTATTAACAAAGAACAATTACCTATGTCTATAAAAAGCCATGATGAACCCAATTATCTTGTATGCCATCTAAAAGTAACAAATTTTTAATCAAAAGAAACAAACATTGGCTTGGGGAAAAAATAATGAGTACTGCCTCTTGAAAACTTTGTCTTTACCAGGGCTGCTCTTAGGGTCTTAGGACTTCATTCATGAGCCTCCCAGGACACAGACACAATTATCTACTCCACAGATGATGAAAGTGAGGCTCACATGTGAAAGGACTTGCCTGTGCTCTTACAATGAGGAAACTGTGGGACCAAGGCCCAAATCAGATATAGAGTCATCAAGCTTGACCTCGGACTTACAGGTGGGAGGGAGACGGGCAAGCAGAAAGGGGGCTGAGGCAGCAGATAAGACAGCCAAGGAAGGCACCTATCTAAAACAGACTGAAGGGAAGATATTGAGGGAGAAAAGTATGGAAAGCAAGCCACACAGCATGTCAGGGAATGAAGAAGAAAGGATACTTCAAGGGTGACATAGGACACAGAAGGGTGCTAAGAGACTAAGAAATGCATCACCAATCTGTCAGTCAAGCAGAAAGCGTTTACAGAGCTTTTTGGCTCTGCAGAGATGGGCCATGATTTCAGATGAGATCTCTCCTTTTACAGAGGCAAGCAATCTGACCAAAGTGTAAAATGAGCAGTTATGGACGAAGGGAGGAAACTTTTAAACAGCTTTGGTCTCAACCACTACATCCATTTTAGCCACATGTATGTTGGACATTGTGGCTCTGATGATGAAGGAGTCATGTTCCAGCTTCAGGGTCCCCTGAGGGAACTGAAGTTCATACTTTGCTACCTTTTGCTCTGGAGACCCATTTCCCTGAATGATGTCATCAAAAACACTCTCCAGGTCTCTGGAGACTGGCTCGGTTATGATGGCTAAGGCAAACTTAATTCTGTGAAGCGCATAGTTGAGGGGAATAGAGAACAGTAAGGCCAGGTGGACACTTGGGCCCTGATAGATCAGCATGCCCACAGTGCCCTGGAAGCTGGAGCTCTTCTTCACAAAGGAACAGCTGACGGTGGACTTTGGAGACAGCACAGGTGGTGGGTTTACTAGTAAATGCCCACTCCGTAAGTAGTGCCTAGGAAAGAGAAGTTACAGGTCACTATTGCTCTAAGAAGATGGCCTTGCTTGTTGGAGAACAGAACATCTGGAGGCCTCTATAGACCATGCATGGTTCAAAGGAATTTATTTTTTTTCATTTATTTTATCTTATTCCACAAGAATACCTACATTTAATCTCGGCTTCACTGCCTAAGGGGTGCTCCCATCACCTATGCTTATTGTGTAAGTATTAGTTTATCTAATGATGTCAGTCTAGGAACAACTGTTCAGATTCAGAACAGGAGTTAATGACTTAGTCTACATCAAATATTAGATCTCTCAGAATCCACATCGTATTTCATTCTGCGTTTTCTGTTTCTTCACATTGAGCCACCACTAATGGCTTTTCTCCCACTTATTCAACAGGTTAAAGTCATTCTACTCCAGATTCTTTGCATGTGGTTCCCACAGACATCGTAATCGGCACTCTTTCCCTGTGCTTTGCAACCCTGATTCACCTGTGCACCACTTAAGGGCTTGATAACAAGAAAACCAAGACCACTGCCTATGACTATAGGCAGCTGTGAAAAACTGCATTCATCTCTGCCGCATGACATGGTGCCCACACTGGGGAGGGAGTGTCCCACCATCAAGCCTTTCATGTAAATGAAACCCACGTGAGGATGAAAGGGCAGTAGGTCCTCAAAAGATAAAACCATCCTGGACAGGAACGCTGTACTCACACACTCCCAGCAGTTGTGCTTACCTGCACAAGATCAGTCCACAGCCCCGGATGGGTTGGTGAGGGACACAGAATCTCACACCCTGCATGAGGAGCTACTTACAAATTTAATAGCTTCTTGTGGAGAGAAAGTCTATTTTCTTTATATAGACTTATGTCATCCCAGTAAGTCTACAGTCCGAGCTCCGGTGGATGACCTAACACCCACATTTATGTGGGTAGCACCAGATGAACTCAGTGGGTTATTAAAAAAAAAAGGACATGAAGTCTGGAAGGAGACCTGGGGGGCATCTGGGAAGAATTGTAGGGGATTTGGGGAAGTAAATATGATAGAAAGCTATCAAATATATATATTTCTCAAAGAAAAAGTAAAAAAAATACTACATTTTTAAAAGTAAGATCGATGGCTTGACAGTTAAGAGCATTTTCCACTCTTTCAGAGGACCCAGGTTCAATTCCCAGCACCCACACGGCAGCTCACAATCATCTGTAGTTCCAGTTCCAAAGTATCTGATGGCCTCTTCCAACCTCTACTGGCACTGCACACACGACGCACATGCATATGTGCAGGACAAAATATTTATACATATAAGTTAAACAAATAATTTCTTAAAGTAAGAGCTTTGCAAACTTATGTAAGCATGCTATTAGCACATATGCTGTAAACGGGAAACTAAGACTTAAACTGGCTACACCTATCTGATCTGCTATCATACACTGAGCCTTGTCTCTGAGCTGGAAGCCCCTGCACAGATGTCCTATGATCCCATATGATATGGGGCATGGGGATGGCTTAGGACAAGACTTGGGAGAACAAGAAAAGGATGAGACTTACAAGGGCTCCTTGAATATTATGTCCGTGTTGTTGGATATCTTAATCTCCACAGTCCGAGAGCTTTGGACATTCTGCACTCTGTATCCCAAGAAGTCCTCCTTATTCATCCTTGGCAAGTTGCCAGTTTTCCTGAGCGTGGAATGACAAGCAGCTCTGAATATCATCTGACAGACATTTCTGGATCCAGGGGCAGTGACTGGGGACTCAATGTCAGTTGTGAAGGGCTGTGATGGGTGGTCATTCAGTGTATACTCTTTGCTTATTAGAAAATCCTCAGCCATCTGGCCTCCAAGGAGGCCCCAGAAGCCATGGCAACCCAGTCCACTCTGCTTTGTGCTTCAGAAAGTCACTTGCTCCAGCACTATTCACTGCCTATCTCCTCCCCTTCATACACGCAAGCTCTGGTGGTAAGAAACAGTTTCTGTCATGCCATAAATTTTTATTTTTAGTGCAGAGGATGGAGCCCAGGTCTCATTTAAATGAAATAAGTACCCTACCACTGAGCTACAACCTGACCCCTCACTGGGGGATTCTACACAGGGGCTCTACCACTGAGCCACACCCCCAGCCCCTCACTGGGGGATTCTACACAGGGACTCTACCCTTGAGTCACACCGCCAGGCCCTCATAGGAAGAGTTCTAGGCAGGAGCTCAATTTCATCTACACCCACAATCCTCCCACCAGATGTACTGAAAGTTAGTTCTGCAACAGATATTCCTTAGCACCAACTCAGAGATCAGGGCAGTTACAGCTGCTGATATAGCCTGATACTCACCCAGCCATTTTCCTCATCTCACTGAGAATATTATCCCTGTTTATCCGAACATTCTCCCTAGACACCCTCAGCAAATCTGCCACAAGTTCTGGTGTGTAGAAGCAAGATGGTTTCATTGTCTCATATTTTTTTCTCCATGTGTCAATGTCATCTGAAACAGAACCAAACCAAAAAAAAAAAAAAAAGATGTGTCAAGTTAGGATCGTGCCCATTTATGTAAGAGGTTTGTAAACTACTTTTGTGGACCAAATTCAGCTGGCACATTTAACTTTATAAATAAAGAGGTGTTGGTATATTGCTTTATAAAGTGAAGCATTGTTTTACCATCTATCTGCCATACCTGAACAAAGAAAAATGCCTCCTTTTTCATATTAATATGTATTGCTCAGAACGACAGCTAATGTAAGTGACTAATAAATATTTGTTAAAATAATAAAGAGAGAAGGCTGAAGAGATAGCTCAGCAATTAGGAGTAATAACTGCTCTTCCAGAGGAAATGAGCTCAATTCCTAGCACCCACATGGTGGCTCACACCATCTGTAACTTCAGTTCCAGAAGATCTGATGCCCTCTTCTGTCTTCCTTGGGCACCAGGCATATGCATGGTGCACATGCAGAAAAAACACCCATACACATAAAATAAAAATAAAACATCTTTTCAAAAAATTAAAAGAAGCAAGAGAGTACATACACTAGATGAGTATGGTAGTGCATACATATCATAGTAACACTTGGAGACCAAAGCAGGAAGATTATGAGTTTGAGCTAATGCTGAACTTCACAGTGAGACTCTGTCCTAGAAATAAATTTAACAGGAGCCAGAGGAATGGCTAGGAAGGACTCATACTGCTCTTTCAAAGGACTGGTGTTCAGTATGCAGAA